CTCCTTCTCTCTCTCTCTCTCTCTCTCTCTCTCTCTCTCTCTCTCTCTCTTCGTGTTTGTTTGTTTTGTATGCCCAGACAGCTCCTTGCCAAGTGCTCTTGACACTGGCACACATGAACTGTGTCCTCTGAGCTCCACACATGTGTACAGCTTTGCCTGCATACACAACTACACACACACACACACACACACACACACACACACAAATAGTTGGTGGAATCTTCTCACGGCCATTTTAGTACCGCTTCCCTGCATATGACAGTCTTTCATTTACTTTGCTGTTTTTTTCCAAACTGCGCCTATCTTCTAGGGACAACCGAGGTACTTGACTTCCCAGCCAGCATTTTGAGAGCAGTGGGGTTCAGGGGTTGGAGCGTGCCCTGCATCCGGCTTTCTCTGCACGAATGTGTGCACTGACCCAAATGTAGAGCACATGCTGTGTTGCAGGTGATGGATTTAAGGAAGCTGAGAAGTTCCTTGCCACACAGCTGCCTGTCTGTTTGCTGCTGTGCTTCCTGGCTCGATGCGTAGGTCAAGTCACTGTAAATCCGGCCTTTAGTTTCTTCTTTCTAAACCGTATGCCTCAGGGAAAATGCCTTTACCATTACTGTCTTTGGTAGGTGTCTCCTTGAGCAATAGAAATTCTGTTTTCAACTCTTGGAAAAGTAGGTTTTTTGAGGGCTAAGTGACATGAAGTCAAGTCTGCCTATTTTAATGAAGCACAGATTAAGGAACTGAGACCGTCACAGAACCGTCACCACAGTCAAGACATGACCTTTCCTCTTTGCCTTCATGTCCGACACTCTCCTCTTGCCACCCTGTCAGCCTCTCTGAGCGTGGCAGCTGAGCTGGAGCCTCGCCAGCGCTCCAGTGTTTTTCAGCCATTCTCACGGGCATTGCTGTGACCTCTCCTTCCAGGTTCACTGTGTGTTCCCGATAGCTAACGTGTTGAACAGTGTCCACGTGCTAACCTTGTGTCTATGTCTCTCCTTTACGTTTTCTTATTATTGAGCTGTGAAACTTACGTTTGTACTCTGGCTACCTGTTTATCATCAGAAATGTTTTGTAGATACTTGGCCCCTGTTCTGTGGCTTATCTTTTTGTTTGTTTACTTTTAAAAGCAGACTTTGCTATTTGTGTAGATCAGCCTTGCTTGGGCTAGCAGCGACCTGCCTTCTGTGCCTTCTCTGTGCTTCAATTATAGGTGTGTCCTCCCATAGCCAGCTCTTCTTCCTCCTGCTTCATTGGAGAGTGGCAGTGCACACCTTTAATCCCAGCACATGGAAAGCAGAGGCAGGCGGATCTCTGAGTTTGAAGCCAGCCTGGTTTACATAGTGAGTTGCTACTCAATAAGACCGGGTCAAAAGGGAGATATTTTTCTAAATAGTAATTGTGTGCAGAAATTAACAGGCCCTCACTATTAAGATTGTTTACATCTTGTCAGTAGGGCAGCAGACTTTGAATTTTATCATCTAGATCCCCAGTGCCCAGTAGGTTTCATTTTCTATGGTAGTAGCTGGATGCTGTTTGTGCTTGGGTTGGAACTCAGGATTTGGAAGTGTTTTTCTCTGCACACTGCTCCATTGTTGGCATCCAGCAGTCTTTGCACATCTGTGCCATGGAGTAGGTCCTCTCTATGCTGCTGCTCTTCTCTCAGCAATTGAATCTTGTTTCTTCTCACCTGGTCCTAGACTTACTGTGGGTCAAGCCTTCTCCCATGGAGCTGCATCCCAGCCCTTGTCTACCTGTTGTCCGGTTCTGTTGTCTGTCAATTCAGCTCCAGTCTGGAGCAAGCCTGTGTCTGGCTCTCAGCTGTCAGTCGTTCAGAAAGGCTTCTCTTGTCGTCAGTCCCCGTGTGTCCTTGGCCACACTTAGTGAAGACCAATGGGAGGAGTTCGGGTGCATAAGCTACGGCTCCTAACCGTTCCGAAGTGACTTGCTAGCCTGCACGTGACCTTCAGAAGTCTGATGTGGTTTTCAGCTGATTTCTGTTGACTTCTTCGATGACAACACCCTTTGACAAATGTGCACTGATGCAAACAGGCTACCCCTTTTCCTCGTCCTCCGTGGAGAGTCATGCCACACTTGGTCATTAAGTTTCCTTCATTGCCTTGTGCCGTGGACTTGACTGGAGCCGTTATGTGGCCACAGCTCCTCTGGGGCAACTTTTCCAGTAATGAGCCGAGCAAAGAGAGCTTTCCTGTGAGAGAAGAGTGCAGGCGGAAATGCAGCCAGCAGCAAGTGTGCACATGGACCTCACAGCTTCATCATTTATCACTTAACTTTATGAATGGTTACTATCACTCTTATAATCATCATCCTCATCACTGTGTGTGTGGCGCGAGGTGTATGTAAGCAAGCGTCTGGAAAGTAGAGGACAACTTTCGGAAGTTGCCATTTCCCTCCCACAGTGAGTCTGGATATAAACTTCACGTCGGCAGACTTGGGAAAGTACAGCCTCTTACCTGCTGAACCATCTCAACAGCCCAACTTCTTCATTTTTAACCTGCCTTGCTCTCACGTCACCTGTTTTACTGTTTTGTCTAGAATTAGCCTCGTCGTGAGAACCACTGTATATTTTTAAATATGTTCAATCTGACCTTTAAAGGTATTACGTGTTAGTTCATCAGTTAATCCCTGAATCATTTTTTTTTTTTGTGATATATATTTTTTATTTTACAATACCATTCAGTTCTACATATCAGCCATG